CCCGAGTTCCTTCTCTAGTCCACTCATCTCTTCCAGGATGAAACTTGATTATGTAACTTGCTGCTCAAAGACCCCTAGACTCTCCGGTGCCTGTACAACAGTCTCGGAATGTTTCAGTGCTGCCTAAGAGAGACTCACATCCAAACCTGACATTCCGACCTCTGTCTCGCCCCACCCTCACCCTCACATCCTTCTGAGACCCAGGTTTCCCACAGAAAACCTCCAAAAACATGTCTTAACCACATTACCGAAAACACTAGCGCCTTTAACACGCTGTTGTCTTGGCTCCGAATCCCCTTCCCTCACTTTTTCACGTAGTAAAATTTTACTTCTCAGATGTGATCCAGTTCAAATATCATGTAATCTGTCAAAACATTCCTGGCTTTCCTGCATTCCTTCTTCTAAGTTCCCACATGAGTTTGTAGGCACCTCCATTACAGTTCTTAACAAATGATTTAGTGATTATCTGTTTTTGTATCTGGCTCCCCAACTAGACCTTGAGTATTCTGGTCAAGGACTCCACCTCATGTGCTTATCATCCATAGTTCCTAACCTTCTAAAGAGTTCTCAGTCCCTAATGAAGACAGGATCTCAGCTATTTAACTGTTTCTTTCACTCAAAGATGGAATATAATAATCAGTGGGTTCTTTCAGGGAAACCTTAGCCATTTAGAATTAGGAAGACTTTTGGATTTAAGTTAACTATATCCATCTGGATACTTCTTACTTGGCTTAAATGAATCTGGATCGTATCTTGTGATTTCACCAGCAGTTTGGTGTACATATCTTTGGGCAAAATATCGCGTTCAGTTATCCTGTTCTGAGCCCCTGGAGAGCACAGACCAGGTCTTATTCATCTGTATATAACCCACACCACCTATACAAGGTAAATGCTCACTAAATGTTCATTAAATTGAATTCCCAAAATGAATTGTATCTTAGTCTGGGCTGCTTCAACAGAATACTGTGGATGGTGTACCTTTAACAACAAACATTTCTCACAGTTCTGGAGGCTGGAAAGTCCAAGATCACGGGGATGGCATATATTCAGCGTTTGGTAAGGACCCTCTTTCTGGTTTGCAGAAGGCCATCTTCTTACCGTATCCTCGGGTGGAGGAGAGAGAGAGAGAGAGAGCTCTCGTCTCTTCCTCCTCTCATATATGCACTAATTCCATCATGGAGGTTCCACCCTCATGACCTCATGTAAATCTAATAACCTCCCAACGGCCCACCTCCAAACACCATCATATCGGGGATTAGTGCATCAATATCTGAATATTGGGGTGTGGGCACAAACATTCAGTCCATACCAAGTTGCCACAATGATATTTGGCCACATGTTTTAATGATCCATTTGTGTATTACCAATAAACAAAGATAAATCCAACTGAATTTTCAAAAAAAGAATCAAAGAAGGGAATACTTTCCTTGACAACATGCCTTGAATACAGAAATACATTCTTCAAATTAAATGTCTAAAACAGCTACCATTCTAATCAGGCAAGTTAGTTTACAGAAAAGACCAAAACATGCCTCATACCTCCTTTGTTTAGTTTGGGGACCCATGGCTACTTGTCACCTCTACTCCCATGGAGAAGGTTACTGGTTTATCTAAATCTACCTCCAGGAGGGCAAGGTGCACAGTGTTGTCGCTCCTCTAGAGGGACACATGTGAGGGGTTCAGGTTGGGACTAGGCAGCTTCCTGGTTCTTCTGCCCCAAAGTAAAAGGTACAGAATTTGAAAGGAGAAAAAAAAATCCTAAATCGATACAAACCTTTCATTACTATGGAAATACTTCAAGTGGGGGGAAGGGGATTTGGGCAGCTCTGTACATTAAAACATTAAAGACCCGCTACAAGAATGAAATAATGTCCAGATGTCAAATAACTAGAGTGCTAATTTCTAGATTTTTCTCAAAATGGGGGAAAACCATGGCACAGATGTTAGCACGACTTTTCTCCTAGCATTTGAAAGTTCTCCTAACATTTTTATGAATAAAAATTAGGACTAGGGAAGGCTAGAGGGAAAGTGGGGGAGGGGCTTTTGTGTATAATTACGAAATATTTGCCATCTGTTCCATTTTGAGAGCTTACATTCCTACTCCACTTAAAGGTGAATTCCACGTAAGAAGTTACTGGTCAATTTCTACCAGGACTCACTCACCTCGCCATTTTCAGGAATCTCACATAGGCGTGCAAGAGACTATTTCTAATACCGCTCGAAAACCACCATGTTGTCAGGCTTCCTGCTTTTCCCACTACGTTAAAAGTCCTCACTTCTTTCCTCTTACCCTTTTACACAGGTTCTCATTTGTAACTTTTAACTGTATTTTCCTTCTTCTCCCCCTCCTCTTCTTCCCTCTCCTCTGAATTAAGTTTTCCATCGTTCCTAAGTATGGAGCTCTGAACTACATAGAGAACACTCTATCCTGAAGATTTTTAAATGTGAACTATGCCTTTCACTGCATAGCCTAGTATTGGTAATAAAGTACAACCTTACTGATTCAGTCATCCAAGCAGCAAATATTCTAAATTCAGAAATAAATATTATACTGTTGGTTCAGATTCTTGTAAGAAGTATCTTGAAACACAAAGAGATTGTAATTTTCTCTGATCAGTATATCCTGCTTTCATTTTGCAATTCTGCATGCTTCAGCTTTTGCTCAGAAACTCATGGGTTAGGAAAATGAAGCTACAAATTTAGCTTTCTGGTGGATTATATGCAAAAGGTTTTTCCTTTTTCCCTTTTACCCAAATGTTAAAATCATTTTTTTTTCTAGCTCCTTTGTCACTATGATCCATATCCTTATGTTCCCAGAAAAGAGGAAAAGAGATCACTACAATGGAATCTACTAGAGGTTCTTTGGGATCCTGCCTTTGTTATGAACTATAAACACTCCTCTAGAGAAAAGTTTTTCCTGCTTGGATTATATTTCACTAGTGCTACACATTCTGTGATATCTCCAGAGCTGCCTCTATCACTGTTTAAAAAGCTTTGGGTTTTTTTCTCCCTCAGGGAAAGATATACATAATTGAGTCCTGATTTCCAGTGTCTTCATATCTATATCCCAAACTTTGCCAAACCATCAGCTAGCATCTCACTAGAACACAACCAGGTGTGATGTATAGTGAACATGGAGGCAATTAGTTCCTGGACTCCAGAAGGTTTCCAGAATAAAACATCATAAATCTGACTCTTCCAGAATCTTCTCTTTGTGTTCTTTCAGGACAGACCCTAATCAAACAAAAGAGCTGACTGCATCCCAGAAAATACATTGCCCTAAATATCTATTTTCATGTGTCTTTAAGTTATAATCATCACCTCCATTATCACCTCCTGGGCTCATTCGTGAACTTAACATGAATTCTTCACTGCAAGTCACATATTATCATGTGAAATGGAGAAAAAATAAACTCATAGTAAAATATCAAGCTATTCCTTCTTAATAAAAACAAATAAGCTTAATGATAAAGATGTCATTTAAAGCTAATATTTTATCATTTATTTATAAGTGGAGTTTATATTCAATTTTTAATTTAATTCAATTTGTTTTTGTTTTTTTGTTTTTTTTGTTTTTTGCTGGTGGCTTCCAAGCTAATATTTAGATATGAAAAAAACTTCAGTATTTTAGTATCTAATAAAGTAAAGCATGTTCACATTTGTTTTGTCTTCATTTTTTCAGTGTCTATGAGTTGGAGATAATACAGCATGACTCCATTTTAACACACAGAAAATGGGGTTCACAGGGATACACACAGAGTGAACCCGTGGCTTCATTTACTCACCACTGGCCAAAAGGGAGCTAAAACCATTGGAGCTAATTTCTCCTGTTGCCTGGCCCCAAACACATTATTATTTTTTTTTTAATTGCATCGCTGACCAAAAATGAAACAAGACTGTCCATTTCTTCGGAATAAGAACGATTAGGGACATTATGACCAAGGAAGATCTGGTCTGGTATTCTAGAGACCTTGTCTTTCTCTTAACAGTAACGTTCAAATATACCATTGAAGTCCGATCACATAAGTAATACAAATTTGGAAGAAAGAGGCAATCAGTAGTATAAGTGAAATATTTTAAAATATCCCCTTTATTTTGAAAAGGACAGTATTCTGTGTCTAATTTTTTTTTCCTTTGCCAGAATGGTAATAATGAAGGAGAAAATAAATGTTGTCTTAGTTTTTCGAAAAATGAAAACTTACAAGTTTAGCAAACTCCACAAAGAATAGATCAAACGTCTCTACTATTTGACCCTCTACACCATACAACATTTTTTTGACAAGATTTAATTTTTAGGGACTAAGAGAAGTTACACTTATGCAAAATATATATTTGTCCGTAAGAAGTAACACATCAAAAAACTCACATAGTAAAGACATTTTCTAGGCACAAAATACTCTTAAGAAAGCATGAAATTTGGCTGCTCCCTAAACTTCAGCGGTTCTCAAACTTGAATGTGCATCAGAGACTTCTAGAGGACTTGATGAAACAGACTGTGGCCTCACCCCACAGAATATAATTTAGTCGTTCAGGGTGGGGCCTAAGACTTTACATTTTATAAGTTTCCAAGGAACGAGATGATAACGCTAGTCTGGGGCACGACATTTTGAGAACCACTGCTTTAACTCAGTGATGTGCTCAACCTCCGTGGAAGTCTCAGTGTACCTTGTCTAATCTTTCCCAACAAATATGTTGTGTTCTCTGTGCCAGTTAGTGTTTCCACAGACAAACAAGATGACCTCTAAAATAAAGTGTTATCTTTATCACCTCTGAGTTGTACAACACTTCTTAAAGCATCACAACCTTTTAGGTATTTAACACATGAAATAAAAAATATCGTGACATAATTATAATAGCTTTACTTCTTAATGTACACATTTGACAGTTGGAGGGTAAGATGAATACTGTATTTGAAGACTCATTGGTATCTAGGATTCTTTGATTTGATGTTAAAAACAAAATGTGGGTATAAGCAGGCAGTCTCCATCCTGAGGACTTACCTGTGACTGGTGCATCGATATCCAGCAAATTTTTTTCCTGTCTAAGAATTGAGGCCCCCTCTGTTATTATTCTCAATGCAACACTCTCTTCCAGCCTGCCCTCCTTCATGAGATGTGCCTTTAAGATATCCACACGAGGCTTCCCATCGTTATCGAATACTTCTTTTGCTGTAAGTCGGTGACTTGGAGGAAATGGGACAGCTGAAAGGGAAAAGATCAAATTGTTACATTAGCTAAACCCAACAGAAGTTTCAATAATAAATGCCAAATACCTTTCTCTACTACTAACCACTTATTGGAGTGTTTTGAAAGTTCCCATATTAAAATACAACAAAGGGCTACCAAAAAGTAAAGATTGCCTTCTTTCTTTGATTCTAGATGCAATGCGATTGCTGAAAGGAATCACTTGCTGATTCACCCAGTCCCGATCTCTTGCATATGAGATCCTGATTAAGTTTAATAAAGCAAAAAGATAGAGGTGTTTCTGTTAGGCAAGAATCAATTCAACAAAAGAAAATAGTTTCCATATATCCAACCATAACTAACCCAGGAGATGATGTTTCCCCACTGGGAAAAGGTCTGCCAGACCAGATTTATCCCTCCAACTAAAGTCACACCTCTGAGTAAACTGATTGACTCACTGTTTAAGAACAGAGCAAGAATCCGAGAGCAAAAAGGTATAAATGCGCTGATATTAAACAGGAAATCAGGATCCGTGTGTGCATGTGCCAAAGGGTCATCTTGAACACTGAAGGGCAATATGGTGTCAGGGAGGAGACGCAAGTAGTTAGAAATATGACATAATGACAAATTCAACGCACCACTCAGACTCAGAACCAACCATTCTCTCTTTCGACCATACCCCCATACCTCAACAGTTAAGAAGCTCTCTTACAGCTACTGTCATTCTTCACATCTGTGAATACATTCATTCACTCATTCAGCTGGAGGATATTCACTAAACTCCTACAATGTGCCAGGACATCCAAAGATCCACGGTTAGAGATGGTATCATGAAGGTTAAATTTCTAAGAAATGGCCAATGAGCCCCTTCATTGAGGCTATCATTGTTTGTCTATTTCACATGAGCATTCATTACTGGAAAACAACTCAGAGATCTGTTAGAAATCTCTCAAAGGACCAGAAACACAGTTTCATGAAACTTTCCTCTGCCATATGCAATAGCCATATGCATTAGAACATCTCCATATAATGGTTCCTCTTTTAGGAAGAACACTTGATATTAAGAAAGAAACCTAGACCCCTTATTTCTTAAAAGTTTCTCTCAAAGAAGCAAGATTTATGGCCAAGCTATAGCAAGAAACTTTGTGCAATCTCACAGCATGGATTTGTTATTCGAGAGAAATTGTAAGTACTTAAAAGAAAAGAAAACTCAGGAAATTAACCTGTACTAATGGTGCAACTTGATTTTCTTAATAATCCAAGCATATCTATTTAACTAAGCTGCCAAAATGAAGTGGCAGAAGGAGACTAAGAGGATAAGCATGAGGCTTTTGCGGTCAGATGAATCTGAGTGCAAACCTTGGCTTTGTCCACTCACCAGTTTTATGACCTTGGGCAAGTGAAATCACCTCCTTTAGCTTCAGTTACCTCACCTGCAGAGTGGGGATTACATCTATCTGAGCGTTGTTATAATAACTAGAGTACACAGTAATATTAGCAGCGAACATTTATAGAGTGCTTATCTTATGCCAGGTATTGTTTGGGTAATAAAGGCCGACATGACAGTAAAGCTGTAACATGAGTAAGACACACATACATCTGTTTACATATAAATGTACTTAGTCCTCATAACAATACGGTGGGGGAGAAACTTGAAGCTTAAAAGTATTAAGCACTTTGCCCAAGACAATCACCTGACCATTTGTACGTAGACCCAATGAGTATAAACTCCAGCAGTCTGATGCCAGAATAACCGTGTCTACAACTTCCCTACACAGCTTCTCAAAAAGAACTTAAGACAGTGCTTAAAAATTGTAAGGTCACGAGGAAATCACTGTTGAAAACTGAAATTCTAACAAATACTGAAAGGTGTTTCTTATAAAGACTGCTTTTATTTTCAAAAATTATTTGGGGCAGCTTATAATAGAATACATAATACAAAAGCATGACGGAAAATAAAACACAAAATGCAGAATGCCAAAGCGTAGTGAATAATAACGAGAAAACGCAAGAACTAAACAAGAAGGAGAAAAAAAAGAGGAATTTAGGTCATTAGACTTCAGGCATTTGGGGATTTTTTGTTCATCTTGTTCCTTTCCCTCCCCTGCTTTTCCCTACCTAACAGATACGCTTGGTAAGAAAACATGGAAACGTTTCGATGGCCCTGTGTATTTAGGTGAGTCTTTATGTACCATTTGAAATTAGAAAATATCTTACCTGGCAACTCCTCCAAATTCCCCAGATATATATTGGGGAATGGAAAGGAAGAAACTTCAAAAGGATGCTTGGAGTATGGCTAAGAGCTTTTTTTTTTTTTTTTTTTTTTTTTTTTTTTTTTTTTTTTTTTTTTTTGAGTTAATTCCCAGGGTAGGAGTTGGACAACTGTGAAGGTTTACAATCCTCAGGCAAGAATCCTAGGAGCACAGCAGGGTAGGAGGCTGATTTGTTATCAGGCTTATAAAGGCAGTGGGTCTCTGCCACCCTGTACTAGCTGGCCTTCTTAAACTTGAGCTAGATCAAAGAGTTAAACCTGAAAGAGTGGAAGCCTTTAGAAGGTGAGAGGCAAAGGGAGCGCACCTGAGCCGCATCACCTTCATGAATTAGACTTTCTCCAAGTCCCTAGGCTCTCTCAAACACCAAGATCGCTGTAATAAAAGCTGCTCCCTCTTCGACGCCAATCTTTTATCTTCCAGTAATTGCTAATTCTAGGTAGTCGGCTAAGGTAAAGCCACCTGCTCTGAAATACAGGATCTGGTTCCAAATAAACAGGAGCAAAAAGAGAGGGTAAAGGCCAACCAGAGGGCTCTATTTCCAACTGGATGATAGGGAAACTGATGAGATGGGGCCTGTTACCAGATAAACAGATGGTAAGGCCCCCAGGGAACCGAGATGTGCAGCAATGATGCCAAGGTTTGAATGCAGAGATGCTGTAAGCCAGAGAGAAGTTTTCTGGGACAAAAATAAGAGTGGGCTAATATTTGTGAATCTGTACACGCTTTGGCTTCATAAAGAAAATACCAGCTTTACAAAGGTCATATTCATTTGCTTTCTCTGTTCACCTAGAGTCCTCCATGCAGATGGGTGACAAGTACCAAGCAAAAACTGCTTCGACCAAAGAATCCAATGTGCTTAGAAAACAAGCCTTTCATTAACTCATAAAAATGGCTACACCTGATATAATAAAATTGGAGTTCCCCCTCCCTCCGTTGCTTTGAGTATTACAAGTTGCTTTTATTGGTACGAGAGTACACCAGGATTGAAGGAGTTAAGTTTGTGCATGCTAATAAAATTTAGAAGTATCTGTTGATATTTGGCTGACTCTTGCTGAAATGATTTTGTTATAATTGCCCATTAAGTATGGAATATGGTGCAATAATAGTCTTCTTAGAAGTAACCCGAAAGTAGATAGAATCACTCTCAGCTTTTTTTCACTCCACAATTTCCACTCAATGTCACTTTTTTCCCCCTCAAATATAACAGCAAAGTCACTAAAATTTAGGGTTATGTACATCCTCGACTGACTTCAAGCAAATTACACCAATGGCTTTAAAGGCAAACAAGATACTGGACCAGGATTGTGTTCCCATGTCATTGATGGTGGAAATCTGCCACAGACTGATTTCCAATGAACAGGATATGATCTCATTTTGTCCCCTATTTGTTGATGCCACTAGAATGTTCATCTACCTGATACAGAGAAAGGTTAGTAGCCTGGGAACCAAAATCATGTGTATCCAATATTGGCATCTATGTAATAATTACTGAAGTTGTTGTCAATTATTCATCCATCAGAGAGAAATACATCCCAAGTCAGAAAAGCCCGGTATCCAGAGTTATTCTAGCCCTAGGTTCTGGCTGACCATGGGGACCACAGCTCTGAAAGAGTTAGGTATCTCCTCCTCTGATTTGGGCAAGATCAGTTTTAGATGACAGCTATGCACCTCAGTAGTCATAAGTGGTCTGCTCTCACTCTGGAGTATATCTAGGTATTTGAGGTTTCTGTTCCGCAAATCCGACCCAGATTAACCACTATCAAAGCTACTCCTACTATTTGATGGGAAATATCCAAGAGTCACTGCCATGGTGATACCTTCATTGGAAGAGCAGGACACCTGCTGCCTGACCTCTTCCTGAAATAGTCTTACAGATGCTGCAAGAAAGAATCACAGGCAAAGAAAACGTTCAGCCTAGTGATTTTTTTCAAGCCTTTGTTTTGCTTCATTTTTTTTAGTAAAAAAAAAAAAAAAAAAAAAAAAAA